AAACTTATGCTGCTCAGCACAGTTTCAAAATGAAGAACATAATGTTCAGAACTTTCCTGTCCACAGAGAAAATAGGCTCCCTTAAAACTAAAATATTGCAAGTAGTTCTCAATGTCCCCAAAATTTCATTTCAAAATCAGTCCCAACCTTTCATAAGTAGTTAGTACTTTAGGCTCAGGAATAATCAAACCGACAAGTGGTTTACACTGTAAAAAAAATATATGTGTGTGTGGCAATTTAGTATATTTTCCCACTTGAATCTGGAGTGCAGTATTCATGTACATTAAAAAGCCAGTTGACTGTCACTTGCAATTTATAAACATTGTAAGTTTCCATTCTTCGATGCAAAAAAAAAAAGTTTTACCCACTACCTTTTTGTTGTAAAGGACTAACAGAAAACCATCAGTGAAATCAGCGATTTAAAAACCCAAACCACCAATTATAACTGGAATTTTCACAAAGTATGTGATAGGTTTATTGTGCCAACTAGGCACCCACAGAAACATGTGGGCAGAGTTTAATCAGGTCACAGCTTGATTGGAGGCTTTCTGAGGCCAGCTTCCTGTCTCTCATTCTCTCTGGTGATCGGACCAAAGTGCTGCTGCTTGAGCTAGTTCTTTGCCTCAACCATGTGCTGCATTACCTGTGGGCCAAGCCAACCTGTGAATCCTTTAGCTTTGCTGTGCACCACTAGAGCTTGAGGCTCCTTCAAGACCTGCTTCGCCATTCTGCTGATGGACCATGTCACTGCGCGTGCATCACTAGAGCTCGAGAACCCATCTGGGTCTGCTTCTCTATAGTCCTGAGCTTACTGACTGTTGCTGCTCCACCCTGCTGTCTGCTGCCTGCTGGCTGACTCTGCCAGCCTGTCTTGCCTGAAGGTAGACTCTGATGTCTGCTTCCTTGACCTTGGACCAGCAGCATGCATGGGTTGAAGGACCTTCGGTATATTAACTGTTCCACAGAAGTGAGCTGAACTGAGGTCTCTGTACTGTTGTGTGGACTAATTAGCCATTATATTCCTTCTTGTTGTATAAACCTATCCTTTTATATATATAATCATAAGCCCCCTGGTTTTGTCTCTCTAGAGAACCCAGCCTAACATAGTATGTTCTATGTAATGTTAATAGTCAATATGTGGAAACAATAAAGGGGATGTCTTAAGGTGAATCAATTTGGGGAAGTCTGGAATAAACAGAGTTCAAGATATGTTTCTTTAAGACTTTTGAGTTTTACAATGACAGTGGGCATTGACCCCATCTATGGTAGGGATGTGGCATGTGTTTCTCAAACTAATTTGACTAGTTTTTGCCAGAATACCTACCAGGGTTGAGTTCCAGCCAAGACATGTAGAGAAATGCTATTCCTACCTTTCTTAATTGGACACTTCAGCTACTTGAAAGCTCTTTTCAGCCTATTTGCAGTGAGAACAGTTTTTTTTTAAATGTATCTTATTTTCAAAAAGCCTGAACAACTTTGTTCAAATCTTAGAACAGCTGGAATGTCATTCAACCATATTGACATTCCAATACTCTTGGGAAGGAGGCTATTCTTCATACACATCATCACTTCTAGTTTATAAGGAGAACAAAGCAATTGAGATTTATAAGCAAGCACTTGTAGCTCCCAACTTATTTCACCTGGATGACTTAGTGAGATAAATTAGTTAGTGCTAGAGAGACAGGGTTTTGTTTGAAGAGCTATAAATGAACAGTTACAAGTATTCATAGCTAGGTAGGTTTATACTGTCCTAGATGAGAGCTGATGAAACCTTGGTGGCATAGTGCTTATGCTTTGGGCTTCCAACTGCAAGGTCAGCAGTTTGAAACCACCACCCACTCTGAGTGAGAAAAATAAGGCTGTTTACTCCAGTAAAGAGTTATAGTCTTGGAAACCCACTATGAGTCAGAAATGACTTGATGGTAGTAGGTTTGGT